AGTATCTACCACTCTAGACACTCTAGAACTCAAGTATCCACCAAGTTTATCTATGTGAAGCATTCTGAACAGGGTGTGGCCCACAGAATGCACTCAATTAAGGTCAGCCATCAATTTCATGATTATCGTTTTTATTGCTATTGTAAACCTCACAAACCCTCTAAATTAAAACCTGGCAAAAGGAAAGCACCAGAAGAACAAAGCCCTAAGGGAGAAAAACTTCAGATCCACCCCTGCCTCACATAGATTCAAGGACCTTTCACTCCAAGAACCATGACCCATGGAAGCCAGTAAGCTTGGAAGCCACTGCCGCCAACGGGAGGCCACCACTGCCCCTCTGACCACATCAGCAATCCAGGTTGGCTGGGTCAATCAGGGATTGCAGCCAGCCCTCCAGGAACTCCAGACCTGGGGCAAAGATTACAGGGCAAGCTCCTCCTGGCCTAAGGAGCAGGGACACTGGCCATACACATTTGAGGCTGGCTACTCCAAACACCAGCCCAGCGACCACAGTGAGAAATAGCTTTCCTCCCCAGGCTGGGATGGGCCAGGGGTACCCCCTCCAACTCCCCTTGACCTATGCAAAGATGAACAGCTGGGAAAACAGCTCTCAGCCTCACTGTGAGGCCAACTGTTATTGCCTGGTGGGGAGTGTAAACATGATGTGTGGCTGAGCCTGTAACTAGGAGACACAAACACCCTCACCGCCAGGAATAGAGGAGCTTGAAGTGGTCTATGTTGGTTCCTGGCCCCTTCATTCCCACTGCCAACCAAAGTCAGGTCCACACACTGAACTCCTGCTGCTTCTCTGGGAAGGAAAGAGTGGACTCAGTTGAAAAGCAGCCCACTGGAGGTACTAATTACTCAAGCCCAGGCCTCTTGCTGAGACCCAAAGGTCTCCAAATGAGAGGAAGGGGATCTCATAATCCAAAGGCTCAAGATGTCCCCACCCACCTGGGGTTGGCATGGGGGAGACAGGTCACTGCGAACCTTCTCCCTCCCAAGTCTTTAACAAGCTGTCCAGGAGCACATATCCTCAAGTGTAAGCCCAATACCCTCTTCCCCTCCAAATATGGAGCCTAAAGCTCAGAGAACTTCAATGACTCCTAGACACCCTTTCCCCTCTACCCCTTTCAGAAGAAAAGAACTTGTCAAAGAGTGTCCTTAAAACCTTAAAATAAAGTGAAATAATCAGATTACTGGAGACAACCGTAGACAATCCCATGGTTCAAAGGACCCCTGTAGTGAACCCCAAAATCATTACAAAGTTTGATAAATACTAAATACTAAATACAAATAAAGGGTGAGCTCAGTATAAATCCCCACACATCAAATCAAGAAGCAGAAGCCCCTCCTCATCACTGAGCATCACTGTACTCCCAAAGTACGCCTCTAAGTACCCACTGGGGCCTGTCCCAAACATCACAGCCCTTCTGACACAGAGCTCTTCTACGATCTAAGGATGGCTCCCCCCAGCGCCGTGGTGGTATAACCCACACAGCCCTCCCCAGCCGCACTTGGTACAGCCCCCTCTCCAGAAGCCCCTACCCTCTAAATATGGAATGGCTCCCACAGAGCCAATACAGCTCTTTACACTTGATACGGCGCGCCCCTCAATAGTACTAGGCAAGATCTCTCTATGCCCCTCCGGTTCTGCCGCCAGTTCGCACACGCTTGAATCTAGGCTCCCAACCCCTCAGTGAGTCAGTCCTCGTACACTTGACCTGCCCCGCCGCCACCTCAGTGGTACGGCCCACCGCCACCGCCCCCAGCCCCTCAGGGCCAGTCCCACCGCCCCCGCTCAGCCACCCCTACTCAGTTCCGGAAGGGGGGGCTCGAGTTCCCGGCGGGCACGAGTGGTACGGCCCACCGCGGCACAGCAGGGGGCCCGGACGCGACCATCGCGGGGGGGAGGCGTTCGGGGACACGCGCTGGCGCACTCACCTGTCACCGGCGGCCGCCCAGCCTCTCCGGCGGGGCTCTACCCCCACCCATCGCCACGCTGTGCTTCTTCCCGCTCCTTGTGTTTCCTGGTGGCAGCTACGGCGGCGGTCTCGGCGGCAGCGACGCCTTCTCCGAGCTAGGCCCAACGGCTCGCGCGGCGCGGCCCCCCCGCCCCCTCCCCCCAGCCCCCGCTTACCGCCCCCTCCCACCCTCTGGCCGGAAATACCGCCCTCTCCTGCCACAAACAGGAACTGACGTGCAGAGAGCGAGCGGTGGCCCCAGAAAGCGCGAGAGCGTGAGCGCTGGGCGCCTGCGTACTTTAAACGATTTGGGGCGGGTGTGGGCCACACTTCAGCGCGGGACGAAAAGGAGAGAGAGGGTTGCGCAGGCGCAGTAGGACTCCACCTCTCGTTTTTCCAAGTAACTCTTCTCAATTACTGTTTCCCGGCAGTCGGAGGTCCTTATTTCCATACTCTTATTTTCACTCCGCTCTAGTCTTTCATCCCGGTTGTAGGTTCTTAAAGAGCCCAGGAGAGGGAGTTACGAGGCGTTTCCCCTTTCAGTGTCTCCGTCCTTGTTGAACTCAGGTTCTGAAGCCTCACAGTCTCGGATTTGAATTTGCTCCTTGCTAGTTACTATGGGCAGAAGGTTTGGCTGCTTTCTGTGCCTCAGTATCTACATCTGCAAAATGGAAACACTCGTAGCTGCATCACTGGGCTGCTGGAACTTTTATGTAAACAGAACGGTTTTTATCAATTAAAGATATTAATGCCACTTGCACATCATATATATTCAAATGGTATGGGATATACATTTTTTTATAATAATAACTTAGGCATGTTAAAGGCCTTAAAATCGCGCTGCCAAAAAAAAAAAAAAAGGTTTGCATAGATCTGGTCTGTTTATTAGCTAGCATACTAGACAGTTGTGAGACTTCTGGCTCCCCATCCTCACTCTCGTTGGTGGGGAGGGAATTGTTGCCTCCTGAATGCGGGTTTTGTATGCTACATCACTTGGCAACTATGCATGAGACAGAAAAATGCCCAGCTGGGAGCTGAATCCTGGTCCACCTTTGTGAGAGTGTTTCAGGCAAGTCCTGCAGAGAACAGGACCTTAGTTACCCCAGAGGTAAACCTAATCCTGTACTACCCTTTACTTAATTGGTTTCCAGCTTGGAACTTGCCACTCTTTTCCTAATTCACAGTCTTCCCCATAAATCAGTGTTGATAACTCTTGACCAATGCCTTCCCCTTCACAGGCCTATTACTGCCTGGTGACAGATCTGTTTCCCCTGCTACACAGGCCTCATAAGAAGAGACCAGACCCCTGCCACTCATCACTGTATACCCAACACTGCTCGGCAAAGGTCCCCACACAGTGGGTTCTGGGGAAATATTTGTTTCAAGAATTAGCCCGTCAAGGCCCGGCGCGATGACACACCTGTAGTCCTAGCACTCTGAGGGGCAGAGGCCTGTGGATTTCTTGAGCTCAGAAGCTCCCAGACTAGCCTGAGCAAAGTGAAACTCCATCTCTACTAAACAGAAAAGAGCCATGAGTTGTGGCAGGCACTTGTAGTCCCAGCTTACTTGGGCAGCTGAGCCAAGAGGATTGCTTCAGTCCAGGAGTTTTAGGTTGCTGTGAGCTAGAATACCATGGCACTCTACCCCGGGTAACTGAATGAGAGAGACACTGTCTCAAAAAATATAAATGTGTGTGTGTATCATCAGCCCTTCTTTTGTTCTCTAGACTTGAGGTTACTACAATGTACCCTCTTTATTCCTGTCTCCACTAAACAGCTCACAACTCACAGCCTGTTCCCCTACCTCCAAAGTTTCTCTGGGCTAACTTACATCCCTGCCCATCCTAGGGCACACGATGGATTATAGCACACTAAGATCTCACTGAGACCTCTTAACTACTTGTACATAAACTCCACCGATGCTAGTAGTCAAGGGTAATTTCTGTCAGACTATTTTAAGAGTTACTACATGTTTATGTACTTGACGTAAAGTACAATGAAAGAAAACTATCACCAATGTTATTTACCCTTAGGTATGATGCACTCTAATATTCTTTTTATTTCAATTTTTTTATTTTGAGACATAGTCTCACTTTGTCACCCTTGATGGAGTGCCTTGGCATCATAGTTCATAGCAATCTCAAACTCCTGGGCTAAACCTCAAACTTCTCTTGCCTCAGTCTCCCAAAGTAGCTGGGACTACTTGGGATGCCAGCCACAACACCCAACTATTTTTCAAGACAAGGTCTCACTCTGGCTCATGCTGGTCTTGAACCTGTGAGCTCAGGCAATCCACCCACCTCAACCCCCCAAGTTTTGGGATTACAGGTGTGAGCCACCACACCCAGCCTTATTTTTTTTTAGACAGAGTCTCATTTTATCACCCTCGGTAGAGTGCCGTGGTGTCATACTGCTCACAGCAACCTTAAACTCCTCGGCTTAGGCGATTCTCTTGCCTTAGCCTCTCAAGTAGCTGGGACTACAGGTGCCCTCCACAACACCCAGCTATTTTTTTTGTTGCAGTTTGGCTGGGGCTGGGTTTGAACCCGACACCCTCGGTATATGGGGCCGGCACCCTACCCACTGAGCCACAGG